GAGCTAATTGGCTGCACCGTGATAATGCCAATAAATTGATGATACGTGAACATAATGAACAAATGACAGGTAATTCACTTATCACAGTCTCATCCCTGCTTCGCCGAACTGGCTGTCCCATTTCTAGACGGAAGGACAGCTGGGGAGGTGAGTCGATGTTTCGTGTCACTGTCTGCCTTATATCAAAGACCATCTTGCAGCAAACTCCCGCACACCACTCCTACCCCAGACCCTCCTTTCCATAGGAATCCGGTCAGTTGTTAATTGACTGGTTCCTCTTTTGATTATGTATGTATGTAGTTAGATGATGTTGGTGTAGACAATATAATTTATTTTTGTAGACCTGAAGAAGGGCTTACGGCCCGAAACGTCGTCTGAATAAAGGACTGGAAAGAGTTTCATTATATGCACTACACAGAAAACATATGAATCAATGAAACTCAGGAACCCTCTGATATTGCATGATCACATTCAGTATGAGAATTGGTTCACAGAGTTACTGAACTGTGACGAGCACTGATGGCCTTCTTGTAGTTGTGGGGGACCATCCATCTATCGACCTGATCCATGAGGGACCGCAATATACACCGGCATGCACTTATTCTTTATCCAGAGCCGCTCTAAAGCCAGCAGAACTCTAAGTTGCCGTAAACGGTCCGACCCGCTTGAGCCACGTAGGCCCCTTATAGCAAGAATCCGGGAAAAACCAAAAAAAAAAAAAAAAAAAAAAAAAAAAAAAAAAATAGTTTTCTTATGACACAGGCCACGCTTGCGAGTTCAATCGGATTACAAAAACGGATCGCAGTTAAAGGCAGTCCGCCCAATTGTTCATTTATGTTTCCACCCCTCTTGTACATATAATCGTAGCTCGCTCTATTAGGATGGTAGACGTACTAGTTTCGCCACTCAAAAACGAGAGAGTCGCTCGTGGAGAGTCGGCCACCCCGCCCACCTGGCGACCACTACTACGCCCTACTTCAATTCTAATCATTGCCTGATCATGCGGTTGTTCTACTACTAACTCTCTCCACTTCGAATGGTGAGAGTGAGGTGATAAGGGAAAACAGCTGATACCAACAAGTGAACTCGTGCGGCCGCGCCTTCTCTTCGCCTCAAGCACGTACAACCTCAGCTCGGCGTGGGGTCCTATATAGGGCATATCCGATGATTTTTTTGCATTTTTCTTCACTAATGAACTACTTGCTACCTTGTTGTCACTGTCTGAGCCCCATAACTCATCAAATTGAACGCGGGCGCTGCCGTTAACCAAAATATTATCATCCAATTCACCTAAAGCTCTAACTTTCCGAATGTGAATAAATACTTACGAAATGTTTCACCTTGCTGACTAAACTAGCTACATCCCTCCTCTCCCCACTCCCTGGTTCCTCTAGGCAAGGATGCGCTACAGAAGGTCCAGGCAGCAAGCACAGCTATTACACACCCTGAAACCATTAGGTGGGCGGACAACTCCTGTCATACTCCTGGTTTTTCTTTCCTGTCATCTTTTTAAAAACTGGCTTTCTTTTCATAGAAAGAGTTTCTGCCTATTTTTGAGTATCCTCTGGATGCCATCGCTTCACAATGCAGAAGACGTGACTCAAATTTTACATTATCGATTTTGACGTGGGGCTCCGGTCGTGAAGCTCTTCTTGTCAATTAGTTCAGGAGACAACAAGCAAGTTGCAAGAGGCCATGTCCGCGCTGCACCGACGTAAAGGGCGAGCCATCCAGCGCTATGCATGAGATTCGTTTCAACCAATCTTTGAAAGGTCTGTCGTGATGAAGCCATACTGTTTGGACAAGACCTTCCGTCTGATAGACCATTCGCTGCGGACCTGCCAGCTGCTTTGCGTGAGGAGTCATCAAGGGAGCAGCTTCTTTATCCAGTAGTTTAACGAGCAGCAGCTCCCTCAAGCTGTGCACATGGACATAGAAACCTCACTTCGTTTTCAGAGCTGTAGGCTCCGGTAGACTCTCCGAAAACTGGGGGTGTCGTTCTTATTCAGCTCCTTTCAGCTTTCCATGCTCAAGCCAAGATGGTGGAAGAAAAAAGTTATTTCGAGGGTCGGTGCTGACGGTACGCTTATTGCATAAGAATAAGAGGTACTTGCAGGAAAAGCATTTTCTTGAGCACTTTTCGTATTAATCACATCTTACTCGAAGTATAGGCAAGTATTTTGAGAAAAAAGATCTATTACAGAACTTTCTCGCCGACCTAACCGCTATTCTGATGGTACTACAGTTTTAACCAGATTCAAATTTGGCTGACTTACCGAGAAAAGTCCATTGGATGGCCGGAGATAAACGACGATCTCGTACAGTGAAATGTCTCCGTCTTTCGTTTCTGTGGCATCATGAGTCTGAAAAGGATAACCACAAGTTATACAAGTTATTGCTGGTGATCTTTTAGGCTTGGAATGATGGTCTTCTTTTGCCAACATCCCATACCATAAGATACTCCCTACATGTTGATTACTTTCGGTCAAATAAATCAGCATCATCTAATGTATAAGCCGCATTTCAGCATTGCGTTACGCCAATTATGAGTGCCCCTGACTAAAACTCGAATGCTGCGTTCTCGGATAGTCTCATTAAACCTAAGAAGTGACATTTAGTCACCTGCGAAGCAAACAGCGATAATCACTTACCGAATAGTAGGACTGTTTTCTGCACTTTCCACCTAATCCTTCATTTTCTAGCAGCTTATTTAACTCCTCTGCGAGGAACTGACCAGCTTCTTTCACCACCTCTTTGTCTCTATAAGTTCATAGCATTACTTTTTCCTTTATAGACATCACACGAATCAGCGAACTATCAGACGAACTCACTTGATTCTCGTCCTATTGTATTGACAAATGCAATACTGGGAAGGAATTGGGAGTGTCCGGCAGTTTCTCGGTCCTCGCCATTCTCGAAGGAGTGAAGAACCTTTACTCAGGGGTTCCATGCTACGATATGATGTGTCCGAAAAGTTGCTAGATGGTTGCAGCTTAAAATTGGAGTACTCTACAAGATGAATTATCAGGAAGTGAGTTGATAAC